GAGAGAGAGAGAGAGAGAGGGAGGGAGGGAGGGAGGGAGGGAGGGAGGGAGACAGAAGAATAAGGAAGTTGGCTGCCATGTTGGGTCCCATGGAGTCAAAGTGAAACTGGATCCCACACTGAACTGAGTTTGGAGCTGGGTGGGCTGGTGGAGCTGGTGGTAGAGTGAGGCCCTGTGGTGCCTAGCCAAGAAGTGCTTAAGGACTACCTGCATGAAAGAACCTGACCAGCCCGGAAGGCAGAGTGCATGGGATGCCGCCTGCTCTGTGGGCCTCTACAGGAGTGGAGGGGGAAGGGGCCTTTGAGGAGAAGGCAGAAAGCTGCTTCCTGCATACTGGGCCTGACTGGAAAACTCCACTGAGGGGCTCTTGTAGGTGGTGCAGCCAGGGTTGAGGACTCACTGTGCAGTGTGGGCTGTACAGAAGTGTGGACGCAGGGAGGAGCTGCTCTCTTTTTTAGACTCTGTTTTTCTAGATGCTTTCTGCTTTATTTTCATTGTATAAGACAGCATGTGAAGGCATTCTACTTTTATTTTTTAATTTTACGCTTTGTTCTGTGTGTCTGGCTGTTTTGTCTGCATGTGTGGCTGTGCATCATCTATGTGCGTGGTGCCCATGGAGGCCAGAAGGGGGCGACAGACCCCCCCTGGAACGGGAATTACAGAGGGTTGTGAGGCCCCCTGTGGGTGATGGGTCCTCTGCTCTCTCCGGCTCTGGCACCCTTTTATAGTGGCAAATACAGATATGCAATGCTGACTCTTGGGGAGCCCTTTCTGGGCCATGAACTACATTCACAGTGTGTCCAAACATGGCCTCTACCTATTTCCAGAACTTGTTAGTGATCTCAAATAGAAATTTTGCCTGGGTGTGTTGGCTTGTGTCTGTAATCTCAGCATGTGGAGGCAAAAGTGTTGTGGGCTATCCACCAGAGAAGACTGTTTGGACATGGGTTTAAGCCAATAGAAATCTTTATTAGCCAGCCAGCAACTACACTGAGTGTTTGAGATCCCAGTGTAGCACTGAGCCTTTCCTAGGGTGAGTTTTTAAGCACAAAATCCATGTCCTGGGTTGACACACTTCAGTTAACAAGAACAGTTAACCAGAAGCAGAACTATAGACGCCAAATGGCAAGGTTAGTACATTTACAGACTTTCCCAGAACTATGGCCTTTGATGGATTAGGCCTTTGTTTTCATTTTGACAGGTGGTGCTGTCTGTGTGCTGAGTTTTATAGCCTAAATGGTTCTTATATCATGGAGTCAGTTGTGCTAAGGTCAGAAGACCCACTTAAGTCTGGAGTCCTATTACAAAGGCAGGATAGCCATGAGTTCAAAGCCAGCCTGGAGTATCTATCAAGCTCCAGGCCAGGCAAGGGTACATATCCTATTGCAAACAAACAAAGAACACCACCGAGCAACAATAACTACAACAACAACAAAAATAGAAAATGAAAACAGAGCTGGAAACGGTGTTTAGTGGCATAGGACCCGAGATCTGTCCCTAGCACCTGTGCCAGGTGGCTTCCAGCCACCTGTACCTCGAGCTCCAGAGCTGATACCTTTGTCCCTATCTGTACTCATACTTACACGTGCATACCCACGTGCAGGCACTGTCTTAGTTAGTGTTTCACTGCTGAAAACAGACACCATGACCAAAGTAACTCTCATAAGGACAACATTTAATTGGGGCTGGCTTACAGATTCAGAGGTTCAGTCCATTATCATCAAGGCGGGAACATGGCAGGGTCCAGGCAGGCATGGTGCAGGAGGAGCTAGGAGTTCTACATCTTCAACTGAAGGCTGCTAGCAGAATACTGACTTCCAGGAAGCTAGGATGAGGGTCTTAAAACTCATACCCACAGTGACGCACCTATTCCAACAAGGCCACACCTTCTAATAGTGCCATTCCCTGGGCCAAGCATATACAAACTATAACAGGAATATTCTATATTTTTTAGATCAACTAAATTTTTTTAAAGATTTATTTATTTATTATGAATACACTGTAGCTGTCTTCAGACACACCAGAAGAGGGCATCAGATCTCATTACAGATGGTTGTAAGCCACCATGTGGTTGCTGGGATTTGAACTCAGGACCTCTGGAAGTGCAGTCAGTGCTCTTAACCACTGAGCCATCTCTCCAGCCCCAATCAACTAAATTTTTAAAAGAAAGAAAGGAAACAGAAACCATTAAGCAGTCTCTGCCCAGGTCCCTTCCCAGCCTCTGCTAACTTCCTCCCAACTTCCTGTCACTGGACATTGGCTTCTGTCTCTAAAGGAAAGTCTTGTTTTTTAATGTTTTATTTGATTTAGGATTGTGTCTTCACAGTTCATCCATGCTGTAACATGTATCAAAAAGAAAAGCCCTTGCATTCTTTAATCACTTTGCCTTTTGTATTGCATGATTACAACACGATTTATATACTTAGCAAACCTGAGTGTGCCACACTAAAAACAGACCCTAACTATTGTCCATGTATACATGCTTGCTCAGAGGCTCAGCACAAAGGTCTTTTCATACGTTTTTCTGCATAGTCCCCATGAGAGGAAACAATGGTTAAAGCTCTTTGTGTCTCTTGGTGTAACTTTATACTCTAAGTTAGATGCTGGGGAGCAAATGCAGGGCCTCCTACATAACATACCTGGCAAGTTCTCTACCACCGAACTACATACACTCCAAGACCTTTTGCAGTTTTGCTCTGTTTATTGTTAGACATTTTGCTATCCATCCCTGACTTTAAAGGATTTTCATTCCATTTTTTATTTTTAATTTTTTTATACAGTATATTTTTATCAGATTCTTTCCCCTCCCTCAAGTCCTCCTCCCCAAGGGTTTTTTTGCTTTTGTTTTGAGACCCAGGCTGACCTAGAACTTCCTGTGTAGTTGATAACAACTTTGACTTCTGATCTTCTTGCTTCTACTTTCTTGGGGTGCGCCACCATATCCTGTATGCCCAGGGCATGGTGCATATTAGGAAAGCTCTCTACCAACTCTGCTATGTGCCCAGCTCACAAAGGGAACGTTAAGCCAAGCATAATGGTACATACATACCTTCAATCCCAGCACACAGGAAGGGAGCTGATGCAGAAGAATTGGGAGGCCACCTGGGCTACCACGAAAGACATTGTTTAACGAAGAGGAGAGGAGGAGGAAGAGGGAAGAAGGCAGGAGGGTGTCGAGAAGGCTCTTTAGCTGGGTGAGGTGCTGCACACCTTTAATCTCAGCACTCAGGAGGCAGAAGCAGATACTCTGAGTTCAAGGGCTGGTCTACAGAGTGAGTTCCAGGACAGCCAGGGCTACATAGAGAAACCCCGTCTCAAAACCATTTGCCAGTGCTTAGAGAAACTTTCTTCTTTACGAGCGCTCTCTTGCTTTGACCGACCACCTTGCTGAGCTCTTTCTGTTTTTCCATTCTAGACTTCCTAGTGGTCGGCCAATGTCTTGTCTACGACTGACTTTTTTTTTTTCTTTAAGGTTTATGCAGACTCAAGTAAAGCCTGGCTGACACAGAAATTCACAGAACTCAGATTACTCCTTGATGAGGAGGAAGTACTGGCCAAAAACTTCATCGATAAAAACACCCAGCTCACCCTCCAGGTGTACAGGGAGCAAGCGGAGTCTTGCAGGAAGCAAATTGAGGTCATCGATGACTTCTCTACCAGGGTGTGGGCCATCAGCCAGGAGCCCAACCCTGTTCAGCTGCTGCAGGTATGGACTCCCTTATCTCAGGCTATCACCGGCTACTCACTTTGTACCTGGATCACTGTGGCACTGAACACAGCCTTCACACACTTGGGAGTATACAGAGATGTCCCTGGTCATCGGGTAGACTTTACTACCACCACACAGGTGGTCAGGAAGTACACACTGGTAGGATAATTACTGTATATCTTGGGTTATAAACAGTCCTAGCAGCAGCCTTTCCCAGGGCCCCCAAGTTGCAGGCATTTAGCGAATTGTCTTAGTCAGTGCTCTATTGCTGTGAAGAGACACTATGACCACGGCAAAAAAAAAAAAAAAATTTGTTTGAGACAGGGGTTTTTTTTTTCTTCTTTCTTTCTTTCTTTTTCTTTTTTCTTTTTTGGTATACTCCTGGCTATGCTGAAATTAGTTCTGTAGACCAGGCTGGCCTCGAACTCTCAGAGATTCACTTGCCTCTGCCTCCCAAGCGCTGGGATTAAAGATGTGCACCACCACCACCCAGCTGACTGTGGTGACCTTATAACAGAGTGTTTAATTGGGGCTGACTTAAAGTTTCAGAAGTTTAGTCCCCATTGTCATTATAGCAGGAGATAGTCACAGTGCTAGAGAAATAGCTGAGAGTTCTACATCCAGATCGATCGACAGGCAGCAGAGTAGAGCAGGAAGAGAGTTTCTGAAACCCCAAAGCCCACCCTCAGCAACACACTTCCTCCAACACGGCCACACCTTCTGATCCCTCTCAAGTAGTGCCACTCCCTGATGACTAAGCATCCAATATATGAGCCTGTGGGAGGCAGTCTTACTCAACCAACACATGAATCTTACCTCAAATACTTACTAGAGGACTGCAGTAAGGCTTCTGCTAGATTTGGGGCTAAGGGACTCACTGGGCTTTCACTCTGGCAGAATCATAACCTGTGCCTGGCCAGGACTGGTGATATGTGCCTATAAACCCAGCATCTGGGAGGTGGGATCAGGAGTTCAAGGTCACCCTAAGCTCCATAAAACCCTATCCCAGGAAAACAAAATAAACCAGAATGGAGTCCAAGTCCCCCATAGTGAAGTGCTTCTGCACTGCAGCAGACCCTCACCATGGCCTGGACTTTAGAGCCGTGGCCTGGTCATTCCTCTTCACCAGGGCCCTCCTAGGTACCCTGTGGGAATGGCAGAGAAAGGGAAGAAGAGAGAAATAAAGGGAAAGAACCATGAGAGGAAGCCGGGCAGTGGGGGTGCACGCCTTTAATCCCAGCACTTGGGAGGCAGAGGCAGGCGGATTTCTGAGTTCGAGGCTAACCTGGTCTACAGAGTGAGTTCCAGGACAGCCAGGGCTACACAGAGAAACCCTGTCTCAAAAA